GTATGTTGAGTGGTTTTACCCTGTAATTTCACTAATTTAAGATTTAAGTAATTTGAGATTTGATATTTTTACAACTTTTTATTCAAGTTTTATAACAATTTTCACAGTATGAATTTAATTTGCAAAGCAGAAGTTGTAAATTATGATACTTGGTGTCTTGAAAAGTAAGCTAAGTACATGTTTCTGCATCTATCAAAGGTTGAATTAATTTAATGTACATGTTTGCAGGCTCTTGTCTGTCTGATATGTCTTCATGTTCTCTTTCCTAAGTAATAATTAAATTCTTGTTTCAAAATAAAAATGCTTAACTTAGTTTTATCTATTGTTTTTATTTTTACTTTTCATTGTTATCAATATCGTTATTTAAAAAAAATAATGAGAGGCTTTGACTAATATTTCTCTTGTTTCTTGCAAAATATAGAATTTTCTCACAATAAAATTTAAAATGCAAACTCCAGGGGCCTGTTTTACAAAACAACTTACGACTTAGACCAAAAATTTTACTTGATTGTAAAGTTTTGCAAAGTTAATGATTCTGTTTGAAGTTCTTAGCATAGAAATATCTTTCTGAATTCTATTTAAAAGGATTAGAATCATTTTCAAATTAATGTAAAAGAAAAAAGTAACAAGCACAATAAAATTTTGGTCTTAGTCCTAAGTTCTTTTGTAAAACTGGCCTCAAAAAATTTCTCAAAAGTTTAAAAAATTGTAAAATCATTGAAATTTCTGCCACCAGGCCCGTAGGAAGCAATTTCACTTTGAGGGGGCATAACCATACATTTTCAGTTGGGGGGGGGGGGGGAGGGGGCACTGTCAAAATTTCTTGACAATCAAAAAAAAAAGGGGGGGGGAAGGTCATCATACATTATTCCTGAGGGGGCACAGGCATATAGTAGCTATGTTTTATATATATATATTATATATAGTATTCTATATATCGGCAAAATTATAGGGGGCAAGGCCCCCCGTGCCCCCCCCCCCCCAGTTCCTACGACCATGGCCACACAAGTTTTTTTATATTTTAAAAAAGTATACAAATATATATATATATATATATATATATATATATATATATATATATATATATATATATATATATATATTCCATTCATGTACTGGGGTTTGTGTGATTACTATCTTTGTATTTTATTTTTGGCATTAGAACTGCTACATGTATTTGAAATCCCAGGCCCTGCATTTACCTAATGCTGACACAGGAAGTTTTCCAAGGGCAAGGTCAAAATCCATTGATGACGTAGTTTCATGCAGACAACATTTGCACAGTGATTCAAAATGTATAAACGTGGATTTGTATGTGCTTAATAATTATAAATGTAACAAAGCCAGGAAGCATTGTGAATTCGTGTTAGAAGTGATGTTTAACAAACTGTTTAACCGTGTTTACCTGTTTAACCGTGTTTAACACAAACTATAGTAAATGTGTAGTGTGTTGGATTTATTTGCGAGGCAAAGGTAAAGTTGTAATTAATTACAAATCTAAATTATTTGAACATACTATAATACTCGCTTACAGATAGATCTATCATGCGGTGTTGTAATTATGTCACTTGGTTGAATTTTGTTGTAGCCTCGATCGTTCTTTCCATTACAGATTACTTTTGTCAGTTATGACTTCTAAGAAGATATGAGTTGAATCTTACCTCTTTTCTTAGTAGTGTTAGGCACTTGTTCCCAGGTACGTCGAAGACGCTGTCTTGCAATTTTTTCCCTGAAAAAAATCTGTGTTTTGGGGCTCTTGGAAAGTCTCGGGCTGTATAGCGTTCCGTACATCGGTAAGCACAGAGCATTCCCGAACGTGTGTTACGTCATTATGTCACTGACGGCGATGTACGGAAAATCACGAATAATGATGGATCCCCTTCCGAAGTGGTGGCCATTTTGGTAATGTTAAATCCCCGTAGACTTTGAATTTGCCGCCGTGTCAATACACCGGTTGAACTCGAGGGTTCGGATAAATGGAGGAAGTTTGGAAAAAAAATGATCTATCGACCGAACCTAGTTTGAAGGCCAAGGTATTTATACATTTTGAGATATGAGGCGAAAAGTGAGGTCCTTGGTACCCTGGGACAGACTATAGGTCGATCTACTTTCACTTCATGCATTTGGCAGTCACTACCTACATGATCTATAAAAAGCAAAATTTTACATTTATGTGAAGTGTCAGCACCTTGACTATATATAACAAATATTTTGGACACTCCAGATTTTTTCTGAACTATTTAGTTCTACTAAATAATACTATTTAATACTGTTTGTTATCTTCATAGTTCATTTTACAGGACTGAGTTCTAAGGGTCTTCTGTTTTTTAACATACAGAGCTATCAGATATTGCTAGGTGTATAAATATTGCCCAAGAAAATATAATGGAAGAAAATCAACATAATTATCCACTAAAATACTTGCACTGATAAAACTGCATGAAAATTAAAAGATGTAATATTTCACCCAGCACAAGTGCATATGGTAAATACCATGTAATTTATTATATAGATTATCAATTTGTATTATATTGCATTTAAGACATGCTAAAATATAAATTTGAAACATTAATTACATATATCGGAGATTCACATTATATGTTTTACACCTACTGTTCTACATTTTTTATTTTTTTATTTTTTTTGGGGGGGGGGGGGGCTTAAGGTTTTACATTAAATGAACTGAATGCAGTAGGCCATATTTCTCATTTTAAAAATGTTGAGTAAAAGTAAATGAACAATGCATTTATTTATCTTTTTTTGGCATAATCCACAGATTTTTTTCCCACTATTTGATAAACTTTTGATAAACTATTTGATAAACTTTGTTATTATCATTTAGGCCAAATAAAAAAATATGTGTGGTTCCGGTTACCCAACCTTCCCTATTTTATACCCCCGACCCTAAACTTTTTTTGGCAATTTTCATATTTTTTTCCCGGAATTTCCCCAATTTTCATCAATGGCTCCTGTTTAAGTTTTAGTTTCAGCAATGCCGGCCTCCTTGCACAACATAGTGCAAGTGTTTAATAGTGTTAAATCCAAAGAAAGCTAGCATGTAGTTGTCCCCCTACCAATATTGACTAGTATATTATCACATCACATCTAAATGTCATTTGCAAAGCAGTGATAGGTATTATTTAGAAAAATTAAGAAAATCATTTTGTTAAAAAAAAAAAATCCCTACCTACCTACCCTAATTTTTTGGGAGGTGTAACCGGAACCACACATATTTTTTTGTTTGGCCTTATGTCCAATATCCTCAAAATATCCTGTAACTTTTAAATAAAGGACAATCAATCAGTGAATGAATCTTTAACACAATTCATGTTTCACATTATACAAATTCTCTCATGTGTGATTTTTGTTGTTGTCTTTCTGTGTTTACAATTTTATATATAATTCACTTTCAATTCTGTGTTTATATTCAATTTACTGTATAATAATTTTTCTAGAAAAAATGACTTTTTTTATTTCAAGCATTTTTTTATTGTCAAAATATGCTGTAAGTTTACCCGACATACAACCCTTGAGACTTCTGTTTACTTAAACAAGAAAAAAATCATCTCTCATAATTTCTTTTACATGTAGATGTTTCTTTAAAGTTATTAGTTTTATTATTTACATGTACATCCCTCATAGGAGACCCATTTTGTTCAAACTCCTAAATTTATGTGCAAAAAGAAAATAAAGCAAAAATTCATACAAGTGCAAAATTAATACATCAGGCCATCTTTAACAAATTGTTTGGTTACCCTCTCCCAATCGACTGGCTAAAAATGGTCCGACTCAAAACTTTTTTTTAACCTCCAGGAAGCAATTATTTTTTTTATGAATTCTGGAAAATAGATTTTGAAAATTCAGCATTGATTTTGAAATTTTCTTTGAAAAAAAATTTCTCACCTACCTACCGACTCAATTTTCTCAACCTGAGTCGGGAGAGGGCAAGCAAACATTATTTTAAAGTTGGCCTCATGTAAGTAACTATGAACAGTATTTTAGCACAATAAATACAAGAGGCCCAGGGGCCACATCGCTCACCTGAGCACTCTGGCTAGGAAAAAGCAGAAATCAGTTCAGTCTTGAAAAGTTTAAATATAAAACTGGTTTGGGGGGGGGGGGATCATGATTTGTACAAATTTGAATCTACATTACCTGATGATGCTTCCATTTAAATATGACTAATCATGGCTTTGCTGTTCTTGAGAAGAAGATTTTTAAAGATGTTCCCTGTATATTCCTATGTAAAACTTTAATCACCCATTGTGCTCCACCCTACCCCTGGGGGTCATGATTTGAACAAACTTGAATCTACACTACCTGAGGATGCTTCCATATAAATATGACCAATCATGGCTTAGCTGTTCTTGAGAAGAAGATTTTTAAAGATTTTTCCTATGTATTCCTATGTAAAACTTTGATCCCCCATTGTGGCCCCACCCTACCCCCGGGGGTCACTACCGGAGGATGCTTCCATATAAGTTTCATATTTTCAAGCACAGTGGTTTTTGAGAAGAAGATTTTTAAATTATGCCATTAATTTTTCATGAATTCATAATTATCTCCCCTTGGAAGAAGGCGTGGCCCTTCATTTGAACAAACTTGAATTCCCTTTACCCAAGGATACTTTGTGGCAAGTTTGGTTGAAATTGGCCCAGTGGTTCTTGAGAAGAAGATGAAAATGTGAAAAGTTTACGATGACAATGACTACAACGACAGACAACGGACAATTTTCAATCAGAAAAGCTCACTTGAGCCTTTGGCTCAGGTGAGCTAAAAAGGTCAAGGTCAAAACACTAACATAATAAAGGTCAAAAAGCAGAGATCATTTAAATTGTAAATGGGCACATCACTGATCTGGTTCGTGTCCCTTTTTCAGTTTATTCATGTTATTCAACACCTGCATTTGAAGGACTAATTATTGATTAAAGCATTGAAATAAAGAAGCAGCATTTACCTTTTTATGTTTTTATTAATTACAAAAAAAAAATAATTTGAAGGTATTAATTTATTGGAATTCATTGTTATGATGAGCAGACATCAAGAATTGAAGGCACACATGCATGTAATGGACAATCCACTCAAATTTTTTAGAATAAAGTGTTTGGAGTTCATCTAGATGAAACATACTCGAACAAGTTTCAGGACATTCTTCTGGATGGTCTGGGCAGTAAGTATATACATTTAAACATTTATATGAATATTTAAAAAAATGTCTTTTTTCTTTCTGAAGTGTATACTTGGCCTGGTATCTGAAATTAAAAAAATCATCATGTATTTTTCATATGTACAGAAAGCATTCATGATACATGTACAAATGAAATCATTAATTTGAATTTTCATTATTCCTTAATTTCACTTTACAGAGACTTAAAAGTTTAGTTTTTTTTTCTTTTCTTTTTTTCATGCACCAGTTAATATGTGTATTATTGTATATCTTTTTCAGGTCCAAAGAATAGTCTAAACCAAAGATTACCAGGGAGTTTGCCCAGTGATCACTTGATGAGCTAGACACAAATTGAAGTGTTAGTGATATAATGGAGAGAAAAATACTCACTTTCTAATCCATTCATAGATGTTTCTCTCCTCAGCTTCATGTTTATTATGTCCAATATGAGTCATGACTTTTCTTTTGTACCAATTGACATTCAAACCATGGACACCAGCAGCACTGAGCATTTTACTTTCATTTCTTCTTCAGTCTGAATATCTAAAAGATAATCTGAATAAATATAGGGTAGACAATTCATTTACCTCTTGGAATATTTTTCAATTTTACTTAAAATGCTGAAAACAGTTCAAACAAAATTACAAATAACATAGTATGTTGAGTGGTTTTACCCTGTAATTTCACTAATTTAAGATTTAAGTAATTTGAGATTTGATATTTTTACAACTTGTAATTCAAGTTTTATAACAATTTTCACAGTATGAATTTAATTTGCAAAGCAGAAGTTGTAAATTTTGATATCCATTGATATGTCAAAGTGATTTGGAAGTCCCAACCATTTTAAAATTCTTGAAGTATTTTACCCTTGATATCTTGAATACTCAGATATCTCAGAAGTTTTTATCAGTCCCATTGTCCCATTGTAGGATAACGAGGTTTGACAACATAGTTTGAATTGAAAATGTTTGGTTCCCACCGCACACACACTTAAATTGCTTCCCATGGGCCTGACCCCATGAATTAAAAATGATTTCACAGATGACTGTAGACAAATTAAAAAAAAAAGAAAGAAAGAAAATGAAAACTACATGCACGTTTCTGCACCTACTTAAGGTTGAATTAATTTAATTAATGTGCATGTTTGCTTGCTCTTGTCTGTATGATATATCTTCATGTTCTCTTTCCTAATAATCAAATTCTTGTTTCAAAATAAAAATGCTTAATTTAGTTTTATCTAGTTAAGTTTTATCTATTGTTTTTATTTTACTTTTCATTGCTATTATAATTTAAAAAAAAGAAATAATGAAAGGGCTTTGACTTGCATTTCTTGCAAATGTAGAATTTTTTCACATTGAAATTTAAAATGCAGCTCCTGGTCTCAAAAGTTTTATTAATTTGTAAATCATTGAAATTTCTGTCACAAAAGTTTTTATATTAAAAGGAAAATAAAGTATACAAATAAACATAATAATTTAAAAAAAAAAAAATGTATTCCATTCATGTTTAGGGGTTTGTGTGATTACTACACGTACCTCTGTATTTTATTTTTGGCATCAGAACTGCTACACATATGGTAAAGCTATTAAAAATACATAATATTGTTTGAAATCCCAGGGCCTGCATTTACCTAATGTCGATACAGGAAGTTTTCAAAGGGCAAGGTCAAAATCCATTGATGACGTAGTTTGATGCAGACAACATGTATATCTTGTTTTCATGTTTTGCACAGTGATTCAAAATGTCTAAACGTGGATTTGTATGTGCTTAAGAGTTATAAATGTAACAAAGCCAGGAAGCGTTGTGAATTCATGATAGAAGTGATGTTTCACAAACTGTTTAACCGTGTTTACAACAAACTATAGTATATACTGCCTAGTGTGTTGGATTTATTTGCGAGGCAAAGGTAAAGTTGTAATTAATTACAAATCTAAATTATTAGAACATACTAATACTCGCTTACAGATAGATCTATCATGCTATGTTTTGGTAAAGCAATGATGTCACTTGGCTGAATTTTGTTGTACTATAGCCTCGATCGTTCTTTCCATTACATTGTCAGTGCAGTTATGACTTCTGAAGTAGATATGAGTTAAATCTTACCTCTTTTCTTAGTAGTGTTAAGCACTTGTTCCCGGGTACGTCGAAGACGCTGTTTTGCTATTTCTTCGCTGATAAATCTGTGTGTATTGGGCACTTGGAAAGTCTCGGGCTGTATTGCGTTCCGTACATCGGTAAGCACAGAGAATTCCCGAACGTGTATACGTCATTACGTCACTGACGGCGATGTACGGAAAATCACGAATAATGATGGATCCCCTTCCGAAGTTGCGGCCATTTTGGCAATGTTAAATCCCCGTAGACTTTGAATTTGCCGCCGTGTCAATACACCGGTTGAACTCGAGGGTTCGGATAAATGCAGGAAGTTTGGAAAAAAAAATGATCTATCGATCGAACCTAGTTTGAAGGCCAAGGTATTTATACATTTTGAGATATGAGGCGAAAAGTGAGGTCCTTGGTACCGTGGGACAGACTATAGTATAACAAAAATGGCGTAGGTACTCCCCATCTAAATCAATAAATAAAAAAGATGTACCACTATATTTTAAAATCAACTTCATTGCTAATTTTATAGATTAGAATAGGGCAAAAAAAATTCTGATTTTAATGGAGAGAGCTTATAGATGAGTGCATTTTTTCGTTTGAAGTTTTTAAAAGATTGAATAAAGAGATAATTTTGGCTTAAATGTTCCATATACTCGTGATTAAATGTCTAAGAAATAACTGCAGTTACCCCAGCTGAAATCTTACTAACAATACACACTTGTATGTAAATGTTTAAGAAAATTTCATATTCATATTTTCAACCATGTTTACTTACCAAGAATGACGATCCGCTCCTCTATTTTTCTCTGAAAGAAGGAGAAGAAGCAGATCGTCAACCTTGGCTAGCGATTTCAGATTCATATCCAATCAGAAAAAAATCTATTACTCTATAAATATTAAGTTAACTTACGTTACACGTTCCTTATCGAGATTAATCCATCACAAATTTAAAATGAAATGAACTTTCGGTTTGAAAAGATTGTTGTTTTCAATGAATCTCCTTGAAACTAAGTAATCCTCTGTTAGCAATATTTGAACAGAAATTTTCATTTATAAATTTGACTACTTTCAAAGACAACACTATAAACTTGTACATGCACTTAAAGGATGGCATTACTCCAATTAAAGGTCTAACGTACATGTATACCAATAGATAAATACATTTAAAGAAGAAATATAAAACGAAAGTAGAAAAAGGAGGTGAATGAGAATGACATTAAAATGGATGTAAGCATTCTAAGCAAAAGCAAAAGTCTATTTGTGGCGGCCATAGATTTCGGGACGACGTACTCCGGATACGCGTTTTCTCTTACACAAGAATGGAAGAAACCCTACACGTACCACTGGCAGGGCGGGGGCCTGGTGTCACATAAGGCCCCCACTGCTTTACTACTGGACTCGAGTCAGAACTTTGTCGCCTTTGGTTACGATGCAGAAGACCAATATTCTCAATTAACGGCCAAGAAACAGCAAGACAAATATTACTTCTTCCTACGATTTAAGATGATTCTTCACAAAGACCCGGTATAATATCCTTAAATACGCACTTTCATTTCGCTCTGTCTAATCAAGAGCTGAAATATTTTAAGAAACAATCTTAATGCATGTTCTTTTTATATTCTTTTTTTCAGGGAGTAAATAAAAATATTCTTTGTGAAGATGAATCCGGGAAATCTTTACCAGCCATCGTCGTTTTTACTCATTGTATACGTTATCTAAAGGATCATTTATATAAAGAAATTAACAAAAGTATTCCAGGAACAGGAGAAGATGCCATAGGGTACGTTTTGACGGTACCTGCCATTTGGGGTGATCGTGCAAAACGCTTCATGAGGGAAGCAGCTATAAAGGTACGCACAATGTTGAAATAAGCTCCCTCTTTATCCTCCCTCCCCAGTGATGAACAATCCTTGTTTCCATTTGGAATACATTCGTAACGTCTTCAGTTTCCCCTTAGTTTGACTGAATTTTCTGTTGAATTTACAGGCAGGGATTGAAAAGAGTAGACTAATCATTGCATTGGAACCCGAGGCAGCATCTATTTATTGTCAACATCTCACAAATGACAAGGAACAGTTATCTGCCACCCTGGGGGTACTAAACTCTGGACAAAAGTATATGGTGGCGGATCTTGGAGGTAAACATCTAAGAAATTCATCGGTACCGTATATAAAGTTCTTTATGAAAGTACAATGAAGCGCATTTAAGTGGCAATATTTTCCTTTTGAATGCAACGTTTTGGGCTTTCTTTAGAAAGTTGATTGTCATATAATGACACGCCCATTTCTTTAGAAAGGGAAAAAACGGTCAATTGGTTTATTCGAATACATGGATAACTGGTATTCTATAAATACAATAGCCAATCAAATTGACAGTCTACAAAAACACCCAAGTAAACACGTGTTCGACCGATGTACATTGAAGCGCATTGAAGTGTTAAAAGTTTTCGTTTGAATGGAAAGCTTGGATCTTTCTTATCGAACGTCAATTGTTTCATAGTGACACGCCCATTTCTGTAGAAAGGAGAAAGAAATTTTCATCGTAATACTTTAAGACACCCCACTCTCTGCGACTAGCAACATGAGTTACACTGAGATGGAGATTTTATAAAGTTAGGAGAGAGTTAGAGACTCGTATGGAACGCCATAGCTGCCTGAAGGTCATTTTCATATTATATGAGGTGGTATAACCTTTATGTGAAGTGGTGAAGTCATTATATATAGTGGTAAAATCATTACATTCAATGAAAACTTTATAATATGCAGTGGTTTTATCATTATATACAGTGATAAAATCATTATATTCATTGAAAACTTTATATATGCAGTTGTTTTATCATTATATACAGTGATAAAATCATTATTTTCATTGATAACTTTATTGTATGCAGTGGTTTTATCATTATATTCAGTGGCAATGTCATTATATGTATTGGTTAAATAATGTAATGAAGTGATAATATCGATATATTATGTTGTAAAATCATTATATGCAGTGGTTTTTCCATTTCATACATTGCTGATATCTTTCTGTGATGTGATGAATTCAATATATACAGTACAAACATAATTTGTGTGATAAAGCAATCATTACATTGTATGAAACCCGCTGCATGTGAAGTGCCAAGTTAATTTCATTCAGTGCGACACCTTTACATGAAGTGAAAAATCTATTATGTGCAGTACTAACATCATTATATTATATAGTTAAATTATATATATATTCCTTAAATCATACTTTGCAGTGGTAACATCTTTATATGAGGTGGTTAATTAATTATATGATGTTGTTAATTTGTTATATGATGTGGTCAATTCTTTATATGCATTAGTCGTTTCATGTTATGCAGTGGTAACTTCATCATCATCTAAACTGGTCCTTTTTTAAAAAAAAATGCGCGGAGTTCCAGTTTAAAGAGTGTTTGAAAATAGGAAACCCGGGCCGTGGCAAATTAAAAGCCGGGGCTATTCGAGATTTTTCTAATTTCTGATTCTGTTATACAGCTTCCTGATTTTATCAACTGTGCTGAAATTTTAAGACTCATTTTTATAGGTTAATGTGTATTCGCTGTAAAAATTGCATTTCATTTTAAAATACTTAGTAATTCAGATTTTCTTGGCGATTGTTGATTTCCAAGTTCAGTGGTGGATTCAGGAATCTTGAAAAGGGGGGCCCGATAAGTTTTTGGTCAGGGTAGGTAGCCCACAGCCAAACCAAAAAACAATTGATTTATTAAATCTTATGTATATTTTGGACACAAGGGGGGGGGGGGGGGGGTTCCCATAAGCCCTCTCTGAATCCGCCCGTCAGGTTGGTAAATCGGTTAGGCAATCAAGTAGACATTTTACGTGTTTTGTTTGTTTGTTGTTTTTTGTTTGTTTGTTTGTTTGTTTGTTTTTTTTACCATATTTGACAGAAAGCTAATAAACTTTTAAATTATTCTGATGTTAAAAATTATTCATTCTTTGAAAGGCATTTTTTGAGTGAAATGACACGTTTAAGAAAAACCGGTTCACATAGGCTTCGGAACCGGGGGGGGGGGGGCTATTGCCCCCTCCCCTTTTTTTTTTTTTACAAAGGTAGACATAATATAGGCATTGAAAATTCGGGCGTAGGTCTAGCCTCCCACCCCCCTCCCCACTTTCTACAGGCACGATTCATTGTAGTGAAAGAAAGGTAATTGGTAGTGTTTAAAAGAGTTTGGTACTGAAAGATGTTCGACCAAACCCCCCACCCCCACCCACCCACACCCCCGAAATAGGATTTTCGGGTTTGGAGAAAGAACAATTTTCCTTTTTTTTTTTTGCTTGTCAAGTTTTTTTCAGGTTTGATTTTTTTTTCTATTTCAGTTAGCCACCCCACTATCAATTTCCTTCCGACGCCAATGGTTCATTAAAATCGGATTTGATCTCCCGGAAGTCAAACATAAAAAATCCGATATACTTGTTCATTATCTTCATGTCATTTGATAAAATATAAATTAATTAAAGAATTATCACATATGCATGTAATTATAGGACTATTAATGCAAAGCCTTGTGTCAAACTTTAATCACGCGTGAGTTGCTTGGTTTAAGGATATCCGATCCTCAGCCTTGAAGGATAACTCTTAATTTTATCATTTTATTCAAAAAGGCTAAAATGATTTTAATTTGGTTGTTTGTTTGCTGTTTAACGTCCCTCTCGAGAATTTTTCACTCATATGGAGATGCCACAATTTGCCAGTGGAGAGCTGCAAATTCTGTCCTATACTCGGCACTTACGGACATTGAGCAGTGAGGGATTTTTTTCGTGCCAACACCTACTGTGGCACGGGACCTCGGTTTATGGCTTTATGCGGTCTCTTACGAAGGATCGGTCTCAACGTCCCACTGTCGGATTCGAACCCGTGACGTAAGGATTGACTCCTTATTCCTCGTCTCTTAGAGCAGACACTCTAATCACCGTGCCACGTTGGCGACGACAAAGATGAAACTTGAAAAATGAAATGTTTTCATGCGGCAATTTTTATTTTAAGCATTTCAATGTGATTTAAGGTTTTCTGAAGTCTTAGAAACAGTCTTATAAATAGTTGATATTAGTAATTTACATCTCCCCCCAGAAAAAAGTATTAAACAAATTACAAATTTAACGTAATCCAGTTTCCTTCCATCTACTAGCATATAGATACATGTACCAGTGCACATTTGCATATTATGAAATTAGAAATGATTTATGGTGTTTTGCACCAGGTTCTTCCCGGATGATCGGATCTGGTTTAATAATCCTTTTTTTTAATGAAAATGTGTATTTTGCATAAAAATAACATTTTCAAATAAAGAAATAACTATCAAAAAGAAATAGTTTTTTTTAGTTAAAATACAGTGTTTAACATCGGAATAATTTTTAAGTTTATTAGATTTTTATCAAATATGTCAAAAAAACACACACACATAAAATATCGCCAACCCAGTCTACCCATTTTACCAACATGGAAATCAACAATCGCCAAAAAAAAAAAAAAAAAAAAAAAAAAAAAAAATCTAAAATACTAAGTACTTATAGCACAATAGATAAAATATTAAATCAGAAAATTGAAACTGCCTACCAATTTTAATTGAAACCAAAAATCGTCAAGAAAATCTAAAATACCAAGAATTTAAAATTTTAAATACAATTTTTACAGCGAAAACACATTAGCCTAAAAAAAGAGTCTGAAAATTTTAAATCAGAAATTAGAAAAATCTCGAATAGTCCCGGCTTTTAATTTGCCACGGCCCGGGTTTCCTATTTTCAAACACTCTTTAAACTGGAACTCCGCGCATTTTAAAAAAAATGTTTTTGCAAGAGGACCAGTTTAGATGATGATAAAGAAGTTACCACTGCATTACATGAAACGACTAATGCATATAAAGCATTGACCACATCATATAACAAATTAACAACATCATATAACAAATTAACCACCTCATATAAAGATGTTACCACTGCAAAGTATGATTTTAGGAATATATATAATAATTTTACTATATAATATAATGATGTTAGTACTGCACATAATAGATTTTTCACTTCATGTAAAGGTGTCGCACTGAATGAAATTAACTTGGCACTTCACATGCAGCGGGTTTCATACAATGTAATGATTGCTTTATCACACAAATTATGTTTGTACTGTATATATTGAATTCATCACATCACAGAAAGATATCAGCAATGTATGAAATGGAAAAACCACTGCATATAATGATTTTACAACATAATATATCGATATTATCACTTCATTACATTATTTAACCAATACATATAATGACATTGCCACTGAATATAATGATAAAACCACTGCATATAATAAAGTTATCAATGAATATAATAATTTTATCACTGTATATAATGATTTTATCACTGTATATAAAGATAAAACCACTGCATATAATAAAGTTTTCATTGAATATAATGATTTTACCACTATATATAATGACTTAACCACTTCACATAAAGGTTATACCACCTGATATAAAATGAAAATGACCTTCAGGCAGCTGTGGCGTTCCATAGACTCTCCGCTTCTGTAAAAACGTATTGCAACGAATGTGTACATAAAATTTTATGAATTTATCATGTTTAATGGAGTTAACACAGTACATGTATCGGTCGAACACGTGTTTACTCGGTGTTAACGTAGACTGTCAATTGATTGGCTATTACATTTATGGAATACCTGTTGAACAGGTATTCGAATGAACCATTTGACCGCCTTTTTCCTTTCTAAAGGAATGGGCGTGTCATTATATGACAATCAACGTTCTAAAGAAAGCTCAAAACGTTCCATTCAAACGGAAAAGAGCCATAGCTGCCTCTCCGACGACACGGCCGACTCAAGAATTTAAAAGGAAATCACCTGTTTCTATTTATAGATATACCTTTTCAATTCAAGATCAAACTATGTAATATGGTTTGAGGACGAGTATTATATTTTCATAGTTGCAAGTATGTCAAATGACATTCATTTAATTGTTCAATACTCTAATTCTGAGACAAAAGATTTAGAAAATCAATAAAAATAAAACAATTAGCTATGAATTTACAAACTTTAAAGCTATATATGGCGTATCTGAGCTAAAAAAAATAAAATAAAATAAAAAAGAGATTGAGTGAAGATAAACGTGACATATGTTTTTTACGTTCAAATAAAAATTTTCACCGATTTTGAACTTGAATAACCTAATGTTTCCATAGTTAAATTGATTTTAAACTGTGTCTGTTAATTGAATGCGGAGTCGTTAAATAAATCGGATATTGTATTAAATTTCTAATATCTTTGAAACGTGATTGATTTTAATTGTGTAATTTACAGGAAAGTCCTATCTTTATATAGAGTAATAAAACAAACAGAAAGATCTTTTTAATTTTAGTTAAATACGCCATATATGACTTTAATAAAATAGTTTAGGACAGTCTTTTCCCGAGATACTTTCAAAGTGTAATGTGAATATTATAACTTTCTGAAATTATGGATGTTAAAAAACGTAATAAAGAAAAACGTAGAAAAGATACACAAAAAAAAAAAAAATTTTTTAAAAAGCATAAATGGAAAAATGTGGGACTCGAACTCGCAATCACCATATTTACATTCCAGCAATCATACCACTGCGCCAACGAAGTCAATGACGTCGAATGGATAAATTTAAGACAGATTGCTAAATCTTACGATTATATGAGAAGAAAATTTGAATATATATTTCCATCATTTTCAATATGAAGACCACCTTTAACCAAATTTATATCTAAATGTAATGAAGTGCAGTCAAATCCAAATCAATTTATTCAAAAGTTGTTTTTCTGGTTAAGGGTGGTCTTTGGCAACAGTTTGTCATCTTTAGGTGGATACCTCAATATTTACTATATACTCCATACAAACTGGATATTTTCATATTTATTACATGAAGGAACTATTAATATTGAAATATCATTATTATGTGGTTTGGTTTTACGTATGTATAAACTAATAGCGAGCGCAGCGAGCGGCGCGAAGCGCCGCTCGTCACTGCGAGCTCTTAAAGCAACGCCTGGGCGAAGAGAAAATTCGGACTTTGCACATTGTTCCAAGTGAATTTTTTTCCGCAGTTACCTGTGGTCCCATAATGCTTAGTGAATTGCATCTCGCCGCAAACCACGTTCTCGCGGTAGCAACAAAAATTCAACAAAATATAAAATCACCTTGATTTAATGGATGTATAGCAGACAGATAGTAGATTAAACGTTTTTGATTAAAAATAGCACTGTTCAGACTTCGTTTTGGTAATGCAACATACATACGACGTCATTTGACGTCAGAGTCTAGAAGTAGCAAATGTCACGTGCGGTTTGACGAGCCCGATCTAAATTAAAACTGAAAGATATCTGCGCTCGCCCTAACAGTCGCACCGTCAACATATTATTGTATGATAAAATTTTGGTTAAACACAATTTTGGTTAAAAAATGCCTATCAAATGCGCTATGGCTCTTTTATCACTTCAATGCGCTTCATTGTACATGTGTTGTGGTAACTTCAATAAACGATACATTCATAACTTTGTACATATTCGTTACAATACGTGTTTTACAGATCGAAGCGCGGTCTCTAACTCTTTCTTCCAACTTGATAAAATCCCCATTTCAGTGTAACTAATGTTGCTAGTCCCAGAGAGTGGGGGTGTCCTTAAGCATTACGATTAGTATTTCTTTCTCGTTTCTAAAGAAATTGGCGTGTCATTATGTAGCAATTGACGTTCGATAAGAAACACCCAAACTTTCCACTCAAACGAAAAATTTTACCACTTCAATGCGCTTCATTTCAACTGAATAACTTCATCATATAAACTAAACAATAAGCATACGTAGTAACATATTATTCAATGATAAAGATAACATAAAACCTGTCTACAGGTTTCCTTGATACAATGCTTTGTGGTATCCATTATAGGAGGTACTGCTGATATAACTGTACACAAGAAATGTGAGGACCACACTTTAGAAGAAATTAGTCCCGCCAGCGGGGGACCATGGGGAGGAAAATCGGTCGACGATCGCTTCATACGCTTCCTGGAGGATATAAGCGGAAGTGGAACAATGTCGAAGTACAAAAAACAAAGTATGGAAGATTATTTAGACATTTTACGAACATTCGAAGTAACAAAACGTAGTGTTTCGCCCGAAAAGACGGGGAAAATTCAAATAAGAATACCTCTGTCTTTTGTTGAGTTCTGCAAATCTACTAGAAAGGTTAAGGACTTTGCTTCTGCTATAGAAATTTCACCTCACAAAGGTAATGTGACATATGCTACCGGTAAACTAAAGTGGACAGTCGAATTTTTTAAAAAGACATTTTTCCAAAAAACTATTGAAAGCATAGTCAAACATGTAGATGAATTATTTGAAGAAGAAAATGTCAGAGGAGTTAGTAATATTCTAATGGTTGGTGGTTTTTCCGAGTGTAAACTTGTTCAGAAGGCCATTATAGACAACTTTCCAGACAAAAAAGTCATTGTTCCGACTGATGCAGGACTTGCTGTTGTCAAGGGGGGCGTGTACTTTGGTCACGTGCCAAATGCCGTTTCTCGAAGAGTGGCAAGGTTTACATACGGTATTCAAACATGGCCAGAATTTAAACCGACCATTCATCCACAATCGAAGAAATTTGAGGTCAATGGAATGAATCGTTGTAAGGATGTCTTTTTTCCATTCGTTCAGAAGGGAGAGCAGATTCCGCTTGGCTTTTCAAAGTCTCAAATATTTCGTCCTCTGCATGAAAACGACACCAGACTTGAATGTGCTGTTTATATTTCAAGTGAGAAAGATCCAAAATTCGTGGACGACCCTGGATGTGAACTATTGGGCACCCTTCAGGTACCTGTTTCCAGACAGACCCCGGAATCTCCCAGCTCTGAGGTTGAGGAAACGCTCTTTTTTGGTGAGACAGAGATAAGGGTGACTGCACGTGATATAATGACGAACCAATCTAAAGACGTGTCTTTTGATATATTTTGAATACCTTAAATTTCATACCGATATGTATTATTATTTTCAGTTTAAATTTACTTTTATTTTTATAAGATTTCTCAAAAAGATGTTAATGGCAAAGTTACTTTGGTTTAATGGAAAATACGTTAATAAATGTAAATCTGAGCACATGAAGAAGGACATCTTCTACTGTTTCTTATAGATCCTATGAATCATATAATGTATATTTATTCTACATATTTTTGATAAAATATTTTAAAACGAAGAGAGTTTCCTCATAACTATTCTTTACATGTTCTGTACTAAGAAATAATTGTGATATTTATTGTAAGTTATGATAATTTTTTAGCATTTAAAAGTAAAGTAACAATTCTCACTAACTTATAAAGCATTATATTTCTGAAAAAGTTGAATATAAAATAGGTGATCAATCTAAAAAATGAAACGTGAACATGAAAAAAAACACACCCATGGAAAACACCAGAGGCGGGATCAGCTGCCTGGGAGGAGTAAGCATCCCCTGTCGACTGATCATAACCGCCGTGAGCACCTGTATTGATGAGATAAACGGTATTCAAAATTGGTATAAATGCAATGATCTGAATTGATTAGAAACATATCAGTAAACATAAGATTCAAGGATAGGATTTATTTGCAAACAATGTCATTATAATGGCCACACAATTTGCAAAATGCTGATTTTAAACGAGATGGTTAAAAGCCCTTTAACCCCAATGTTTTTTGTCAGTAGCCTATAACGATTTAAAAATTGGTCGTGTTCTTGCGAACCGAATAATTTAATTCGAAGGAAAAAAAAATAATATATGCAGGTGATAGTAACTAAATAAATAGGGTAAGTTGACAATGGAAAAGCTGATCATCTCATTTGTCATATAGTTTAGTTGTTAGTTGGTTATTAACGTCTATAGTCAGTTAAACATCCATTTATGAAACATATGTTACCGCAACTTCGGTATCTTTTATTTTGCGTTCACTCTAATATATCGAGTCGATGAAATATGAAATAAAATGAATCATTTACCACATATATTTTGACAAAATTAGAATTCCCTTCTTTTCCACAACAAGTTTTCTTCTCATATTGAAGTTTATTGATAACAAAGTCTGCTTTTTATATAAATGAAATATGGAGGTAACAAACAGTATTAAAGCTCATAAGTTCATTCAAACAATACAGATCAGGAGAAGAGCAAACACGGACCTCTAATACATCAGTGGTAGGATCAGGTGCCATGGAGATGTGAGTATCCCCTGCCGACCGGTCACACCCGCCGTGTGCTTCTTTAAAAGAATATAAAATAGGTCGGCTTTTGAAGGAGCACAATTAGCTCCCATGGAATGTCATTGATTGTTGGAAGAAATATCTTCGAAGACTACATAAATATTTTCAATAAGGAATTTCGTCATATATATCTTCAACATCAACTTCAGAGTACATGTACTTGTGTATATAATCAGAATGATTTGTGAAAATTTCTGAGTTTAAGCGTTTTTGTGCCCCCGTATCTAATATTCGCGGAAATATTCGGGGATATATATTTTTTGCCCTGTCCGTCCGTCCGTCCAGCTGTTTGTTTGTCCGCAAAAACTTTAACCTTGCCTATAACTTTTAATTGATTGGAGCTATGAATTTCATATTTTCTCATGTGTATTCCTTGTGACAAGATCAAATCCTTTGGATACCAACATATATGACCTCTTGACCATTTCACAGGGATATTCCTTATGACAATATCTTCCTTTGGATACCAACAATTATGACCTTTTGACCTTGGAGTTTGAACTACTTTAGAAAATTTTAAACCTTGGCCATAACTGTTAGGGCTTTAATATTTTGCACGTGTATTTATAGTGACAAGACCTTTCTATGAGTTTAAATATTTTTGACCTTTTGACTTCAGAGTTTGACCCGGTTTAAAAAATCTTTAACCTTGGCCATACAATGTAACTTTTGAACAGTTAGTAATAAGGCTTTCACATTTCACAGGTATATTTCTTTTGACAAGACGTACCGTCGGATACCAACAATTTTAACCTTTTGACCTTGATCTTGGAGTTTGACCTATTTTTGAAAACTTTGACCTTAGCCATAACTTTTGAACAGTTGGTGCTAGGGCTTTTATAGTTTGCATGTGTATTTCTTATGACAACGTCTTCCCCTGTGTACCATTAATAACGACCCTTTGACTTTCACCTTGGAGTTTGACGCACTTTTAGAAAACATTAACCTTGACCATAACTTTCAAATAATTGGTACTTTGGCGTTCATATTTACCAGGTATATCCATTGACACAAGTCCTTTCTTTGGATAACAGCATTTTTGATCTCTTGATCTTGGATTTTGACTTGCATTTGAGAAACTTTAACCTTCGCCATAAGCTGCCATATGAGGGCATGTGTTTTACAAACACATCTTTTTTTAAGAAAGCAGATGTCTATGTCGAAAAGCCTGGTTTTATTTATCGCTTGAAATGGTTGCACATTTTAATGTTATTGGTTTTTGAAAAAAAAAAAAAAATTCTAAAGTTCTTGATAGAGTTTTTGAGAATCCATATTTGATTTACACCATTTCTTAATATTATGTTGTAGCACAATGCCTCTGAGGTATTTCCTTCAAAGCAGTTAATATTTTGGTGAGGAGAAAAGATAGGGGCTTAGTTGAACATGACCTGGACCGTGCAATGTATCTTTGTATGGAATTTTATGAAGTTTTGGAATCCAGTATAGTCACTGTATATTAAATTCACTTCCATTGACTGGAATGTTAGAAGTATTAAAAACTAAACGTGATTTTGAAGAATTTCATCATTTTAAATGGAACTGTGAGTATAAGTTGGATTACCAGATGTGAAATCAAATCAAAGTTCTTCTAATTATAAAATGCACTTGTAAGAATGAGTCATACAAAAAGAATGCATAAATGTAACAAGCTTTGTCAACTGCAACCATATACTATTTTTCATGTAGTCTTTTTAATTTCTTCGTCGTTTCTGGTCTTCTGAAAACGAAAGGATATGATCATTTTTTTCATTCAATTGAAGAAAAAATTTATGAAAAGAAATAAGGCGGGATAGCTTTAATTCAAAGGGAAATTACACAATAGAACAGAAAAAAAATTATTGTCATTTCCATTTCATATTGGAAATAGTAATTATTGATTCATAATATTTTATGATAATAATGCAGAGCTTTATGAAACATCTCAGAAAAGCGGTCTATCGGATGGAGTGGTGGTATGTTCCACAGAAGGATCTCTCTCGGAATTGGTCGTCAACCAGTAATATATCATTAATTGTAAAATACTAAGTATCTTATTTTTTTTTTTTTTTTAAAAATTGCTTATAGAAAGTTGTTTGCTTCAAAATAATGTTAAAGTCACGTAAAAGAAAGATTGGTCATAGCAGGACATGAAATTCATGAAGTCGTCTGTTACATACGTAATGTACCATAAGATCGTGACCTCCGTGGGAGATTATTGTATACAGTTCTGTTATCAGGGTCAACTCCACAAACTAGGATTGCACTTGATCGTCAACATGCTAGCTCTCTTTGTCACAGTCTTCTCACTCCAAAGTCTTTTTGTTCATGGACAAGTTGAAAATGTTTACACCTACCTGCAGAACCATGGGAACTTCACGACACTGGTTCGATTGTTGAAGCAGTCGGGTTTAGCCGGAACTTTAGCTACGTCAGGTTTGTCCTTGATCTGCACACTTCAGATCTTTATCAAAATCATTTTACAACCAGTATTTGAATTTACCCATATAAGTTAACGAATAGCCCCCCTCCCCCCCCCCCCCTCAAATTTGCAAAGTTAAAAGTTTACTTTAGAATTCTCTTGACACTATGAACATCCCTGAAGCATGGCCAAAAGTAATAACCCTGTTTCGCTTTAGCGACCCCGCTGACAATATTCGCACCCACTGATGCTGCCTTTGCTAAGCTTCCCCAGAGTGTCTTGGACCGGTTGAGTGGGGATCCCCAGGCTTTGGCAGACACACTGAAATTCCACGTGACAAGTGGCATTGTTATATCGCCCATGCTACAGGAGGGAGCAGTTTTCACGACACTGTCCGGAAAAAATTTGACCGCCCATCGCTACGATAACCAGGTTGGGAGCTTTAAAGAAGTTCATAGCTTCAAACTTAATGATAATCAAAATAATCATATCTAATAACATATTTTTATTTTTCTGTACAGATCACTAATTCACTGCTTGTTATACGAAAGTAGAAAGTGTCTTACAAACTTCTAATAAGAAGAAATGCGACATTTGAGTTTTCATTTGTGTTTAATATCAGCTTACTTATGTTTGCTCTAAAAAGCCTTCTTGATCAATTTCCACGTCCGTGCAGTGTTTTGACAGTATTTTCCTGTGTAACACAAGAGCTACACTGATGGTCAATGTAATTGGTACGGACATTTAGAGGTCACAAAAAATCACATTATTTTACATATGTTCATTGTTGTTTCCTTAATTCTTGAAAAATGTCTGAATAATATGAAATAATCTGATCTTAATTTAAAAGTATGTTTTGGATTTAACATTTACTTTATTCCCTCTTTTTCCATGAACAGCTCCCTACTTAATCAAGGCTTAAAATGTTTAAGCAGATATATCCGTATTTTATAACTAAAAGTGACCTTAAAATTAACTTTCCACTTATTATCCTACTCTCTTTGACCAATCCTGATTCATTAAATATATCAATGACCCTGCTGCAATCAGGTGAAAGCACTGCTTTCGCAATTTAATTAGATAAATTAATCTTTACATCTGATCGATCTTACATTAACTTTTACAAAAGGATTTATTGTGGAAAAATGAGACTGAGATTAAAACAGAGCTTAAATTGTTAGGCCATTGTTTTCAGACAGAATTGTCTACGGATTTTTTTCCGTTTGATCGATCATGACAAGGTGTGACCGGTCGACAAAGGATGTTTACTCCTCCATGGCACCTGATCCCACCTGTGGTGTTTTAGAGGTCCGTGTTTGCTCTACTCCCTATCTGTATTGTTCTACTGGACTTTTGAGCTTAATTCTGTTCGTTATCTTCATATTTCACTCGAATAAGTTTAATGGTCCCTTTCGAGAATTTTTCATACCCTACGATTTACAAGTATCCCTTAAAGGATTGACCTGTATCAATAACCTACCGGAACATGAAGCTGTTTACAGACAAATGCCTACTAGCGCAGAAGACAACAGGGTAGTAGAAAGGGGAGGGATGGGGGTCTTGGATACGAACAACAACAGGAGGGGAGTATAAAGCAATTCCTTCCCTCTTATCATAGACTGGAGGGTTAGCATGGTTAAAATACTTGGCTTTCCAAGGCCGTAACTACCATTGAGGCAAGTGAGGCAAATGCCTCAGTAAATTTCTGAAAAGTGAAAGTTTTATTTTGAACTTTAATTAATTATGTGTGTCTTAGTACTAATTTAATACTTTCAACTTTTTTTTCAATATCGGTAAATCAATCATATCGACAGGTGCCTCATTATCGTTTAGAACTTGACGCATGTAAAAAAAATAATTCAAAACGTTTGTTTTGTTTGATTGTTTAATGTCCCTTCCAAAAAATTTTCACTCATATCAATTTGAGACGCCACCACTTGGCGGTGGAGGTCTATAAAGTTTGGTGTAAGACCTATACTCGGCACTTGGGGTCATTGAACCGTGAGGGGTGTCTTTCGTGCCCTCACCTACTGAGACACAGGCCCGGTTTTACCGTCTCAATGAAGGACCTGTATGTACATCCCGCAGTGGGAATTTGGGGAACCACCATCAGGACCTACCCTGGCCCCGCATCTGACTAGGATGGCCCCCAGACTGTACCTTGCCTCACTAAAACTTTAAGTCTAGTTACGGCCTTGCTTTCTTAAACATCTGCAACGGAGCTTTAAAATGAATAATCTGACGGTTGAAAGTAACCAAGGTGAGCATCTACAACATCTTTTTTTTTCGTAGAAATTTGTTATCCAAGGCGTGGAGATAGATGGTGGGGACAAGATTGTTCTGAACGGAGTTATCCATCCCATAAACAGCGTTTTGATGCCCGCGGACGTGACCATTTCTGAATACCTCGGGACACACGAGACTCAGTTCTCTGACCTGTACGCCGCACTTGTTCTGGAAGGTCTGGAGAAACCATTAGAAAGTAGGTGACGTCTGTGTCTGATTGTCTTTGTTTTTAGAAAAGGGACCAATTAAATCTGTTACGAAACAGATTAGTGATAATTGGATTACTGAAGTATAGTAAGGTGTAATTTCTGACCTTTGGGTGCACAAACGTGCAAAAGAAAGGATTTAGGATTTTTTAACATTTCGTACGCACACTGGTTGGAGGAAGAAGGGACAATCTTTTGCTATGTTCGGACTTTGTTTCCATTTAGAACCATAGGCAGTACTCCGACCATGAATATTTTGTACTTTAATATATTTTGGATATATAAAATAGCCTTTTATAAGGAATTAAACAACATGTCCTAAGTTGTAGGCTGCGTCTGGGCTTTCCTCCCTACTTGTCGACATATGTTCTCGGTTCTCTTTGCAGGAGGTTCAAACGTACATCCATTAATAAAGACATATCGTCGATGTTATAGTTCCCTTGTCCTTACTGTGGAGTTAACTTATTTAAAACGTTAAAACGATAATAACACATAACAAATATAATGCCTCTTGCTTTAAGGATTAATTATATATTATATATTTTTCCAGCGGGGACCTATACTATTTTTGCTCCAAAGGACTCTGCATTTGCCCAGATTTTGGCCAATTTACCCAGTATCACCACTGATGATGCTTATTTCAAAAGTAAGTTAAATTATCAATTTTATTAGTCCCCTACCGGTGAAACCGGAGGGGACTATAGGTTTCCTCTGAGTCTGTCCGTCCGTCTGTCTGTCCGTCTGTCAGTCTGTCCCACTTGGTTTTCCGCACTTTTTTCCTAAACGCTTGCAGATATTGAGCTGATTTTTTTGGTGTGTGGCTTTACCTTGATTAGTTATAGATCAAGTTTGCATTTCGTCCTGCTTCATTAATTTTTGACGGAATTATGGAATTTTCAATTCTTAACGGGAACGGAACTAGATTACACTTGCCGGTAGGGGACTAGTATTGCTAATGCAATACTCTCAGAATGCTTGTTATTTAAGCGTTGTTTTGTATTTGAACCTCTGGCTAACTTATCTTTATTTCACAGAGATCTTGATGTACCACGTTGTTCCGGGGGTGTGGTTCTCTGCCGGATTGACGGATGGGATGACCCTTCCCACTCTTGCTGGAACAAACCTTACAATTAGTTTACCTGGATCAGGTATTTAAGCTCAACGTTGACTTTCGTTTTCTTCAATTTTAAGCCATCGAGTTACTTTTATTTTCATTTTTTGTTAAAGTATATAGCGATAAAGAGTTCATCTGTTGTGTTACCTGCAGAGAATGTCGGATACATGAAAAACCACTTGGTTCGACATCTGTCCGTCCTTTCTGTGTTACACATTCATATAAATAAATAAATAAATAAATAAATGAAAATAACAAACATGAACTCTTTTATACCAAATTTATCACTGTGAAACTTTGTGGAAATATACATCACAGCAAGATGATATCAAAAATAATGTTTGACTACAATTGAATTTGCCCTTTTTTATGGGTAGTTATTGCCTTTCAAACCGACGTGTTAGACCCGTAATAGTCTGGAAATCTCAGATATAAGTATTACAGAAAAAATATTTATCTCACAAATCAAAAATAACTGCTGATTAAAACTGAGTAAAATGAACAATTACCTGTGTTAAATAAAATCCATTTTATATATTCTTCGAGGTCGGTTTGACAATGGAGAGAAACTTTTTTGTTATTTAGAAGCTTAACAATGTAAAAATCTATTTTTAATAAACTTGGCCTTAACACAAGTTAAAGCCAAGTTGGCCTGTACAGCGTCTGAGTCAAATTCTACTTATAAAAGATTGTATAAATTCAAACATACCATCAATATATCAACAACCGAGTCCAAAATCTTTTAGGAAATGTTACCGTCAATCTATATCTAAAATCTGATGAGATATATTGCTTTAAATTTTGCTTTAGTTAGAGACACACAAACCACTAATATGCTCCCTGATACCATATAAACACACAAAAACAATAGATTTTAATATGTATCCATTGTGAAGCATTTTCAGACAACAAGAAGTTTAAAACCGTAGTTAATTAATCTGCCAGTTTATTCTTTATTTTGCCCTTTGAATACAATCAAAGTAAAGTAAAAAATGTTTATTCTGTGGTATTATATAAGAATTTTCACACAAAAAGAAAATTGATTTAACAATCCCATGAGTAGACGAGTCTTTATTTTACAATCCTTATAGACATTACTAAGTGATTTCAAAAACCTCGTTTAAAGTCAGAATTTTGTAAATTCTGTGTTCGTTATAATGACCTTGTTAACAAATACAGCCTATCATTGGGTCGTGTTTTGTTTGACGTATTGCATACCAGTTGTTAGGCCTTTGTTTTTATACGTAAATTGACTACAGAATTTTCCTCCAAGGCACCTGATCCCACCTCTGGAATATCCAGACGTCCGTGTTTTATGCCCTGTTCACAGATTTTTTTTTTTGTTTTATGTATTTTTTTTAAAAACGTTTTCTCTAGATCGACTATCGTTCGTTTTCCTCACCTTTTTTATTTTGATATACAGTCTGTGTGTGTTTGATGCTTATTAAAATGTGATTTTTGTTCTGTTTCAGGTGTTTTTGTTAAGACTGCCCAAGTCATCGAGGCTGATATTCCACTTGCAAATGGCTGCCTTCACGTGATTGATGACGTACTTACTCCGCCCAAATAAATATTGATATTTTATTTGTTGCATTCTCAATATTCGTATTATTGAATTGAATAAGTACGTCTGAAGAATACCTCATGGTACATACGTATTTTGAGAAAAAATGATATACTATTGATATTGTATTTTACATTTGATATAAACTCGAGGCTATATCATTTTATTTTTAACGTAAAATTACAAAACAACCTTAATCTCATCGGAGATTCTGCTTGGACGGATACTAATTTTTGTAGAATACCTTTACTGAACCTCGGGACAGTATGTCTGGAAACTCACACTCAACTGGTTCTAGCTATTTATATGCATCTAATGACACTTAAATTCTACTCTCAACTATTCATACAGGTATTGCTCACGGTGTAGGCATGTAAAGCTCAAGATTGAAACAAACACTAAATTTTCCTTTCAAATGATGGCTTCATTTCTAGTAGTATAAAAAGTTCCTCTCTATTTTCAAATACAATGTAAGTGTGCGTACATGTTTTGTACATAGGCCAATTTGAATAACGCTTAATACAATGTAGCTGACCAAAGTTGAGTGTGAAATTATAATGGGCTATACAGAAATTCGGCGAAGACATCAGTTCATATATCCAGCAGGAAGGAATTTCAACTGAATCCTTTCTTTTTAGAAATATTCTTTTTTAAATTAGCTGAGAATAGTATAGTATTACCGTTCATTATAATCACTAAGGCTCTGGTTCCTTTTTCTTAAAGTTTGATCACTGCATGTCTAAGACATTCAAGAAAATCACATACACACTAGGACGAATTATTGTAAAGGTAAACTGGCGCTCTCAGCTAAAAGCGTCCCCCTAAAATACCTCCAGTCTACGATAAAGGCTAACTGATACGAGATCCTTTTCTGAATTCCAGACTTCTAGAACTACGATGTATTTTGTTTTTAGTGGTTTAGCAATCTAGCTATCGGATTGAATTTATGAGAAACGTCGTAACAGTGCAATGAAATCTAACTTTTTATAAAACAACAGAAAGAGGTAAGATTTATTAAGAAAACTAATGTTTACTACAGATTTTTAATTTGAGTACTAAGTGAACTTGGGACGAGAACATAATCAAGCTTGTGGACGACGCCGTTGGTTGCACTCATGTCGGGCTTGGTGACGCGGTGACCGCCCACTATCACTGAACCTGATATAAAAATTTTTTTTTAAAAAACTTATATCCAAGGAAGATTAAACTTAAACGAAGGAGAAAAGGTGCAGATACTGCTGCGTATGATTTTATACATACCGAAGAATGATTGATAAATTCTGAGTCTGTCAGCTTCCTCCAGGGTGTGGAAGCTACCAGAGTGCATTCCTTTGGAGTAGAGGGTACCGTGTAAAATGTGGTATTTCAACACATCTGGAGAGTTAGAAAAAAAAAACATTACTGAATGTTTTATATCACTATTTTTCAGATACATGTCATTTGTAAACTCGTCTATCACTATACATCTTATTTATCAACTTCAGTACTTCGTTGACATGCTTAACCCCACCTAAGCTTGCCTATTGTTTCTGATTTGCTCCACTCACGAGCTCGTTACCGTTTACTTGAGCTTTTTCTGATATACAATAAACCAAAGGATTTTTTAAGAGTAAGACACCTTTCCAATGTGTTCAGGACGCATGCTTTATCACTGATTTGTACTTTGTCATCAGAAAATTTCTCTAATGTTATCACACGAAAATTCTCGAAGTTAGCGCGAGACATCTTAGATTTACGCTTGTTATCACTAAGTAGAGTTCAAGATCGAACGAAAATCTAAGTACAGCTTCGTCGAAGGTACAGCTTCAACAGAATCTTCTGTTACCTTTAACCATTGAATGAGTCAATCTCAATCAATTGATAAAATTTTAAATAAAAATAATACTTAAAGTGTTGAGAGCGTATCAGTTCAGAAACTTGTAAGGATATTCTGTAAATGATTTATTTCAATTCATACTTTTAAATCAATTAATGCATGGTTTTGCAACAGTTCAAGATCATTCAGAGCTGTTTAACTTACCTCCTAAAAGCTGAGGGTTTTGTAACAGTTTATTCACTGTATCATTACCAAGCCTACTGAAAGCCGCATCGGTTGGTGCCATCAGAGTGATCGGTCCATCTTGCAAAATGAAAAACAGAGCTCGAGATTGGTTTTGTTACAAACAGAAGTCAAATGTATAACATTGCTTTACTGCCATCAGACAATAAAGATATGTGAATGACCACTACCAGCTAAAATGTAAGAATTATTCATAAAAAGATGACGAAAACATAATGTTTGTTTGTTTGTTTGTTGTTTAACGTTCCTCTCGAGAATTTTTCACTCATATGGAGACGCTACCATTTGCCGGTGGAGGGCTGCAAATTTTAACCTTTGCTCGGCACTTAGGGCCATTGACCAGTGAGGGATCTTTTTCGTGCCAACACCTACTGCGACACGGGACCTCGGTTTATACAGTCTCATCCGAAGGACTGGTCTCCACGTCCCGCAGTGGATTCGAACCCGCGACGTAAGGATCAACTCCTTACTCCGCGACTCTAGAGCAGACGTTCTAACCACTGCGCCACACGGGCGATGAAAACATAATCTTAAATTAATTCTAAATTTAATGGCGACAAAAACAGATCATATCTTGTCTTTCCCCAAATATTCTTCTAGCCTTCACTTAATATTCTTGATTTTTGTTGACGTCGAGTCAAGGTCTCGACATTTTTTTTGAACAACACCTGGATTTCATTTAAACTAAAGACTCAAATATATTTTCCAGATGATTTCCTTATATCATCTCCAATGACCCTTACAATATGACCTTGAATCATGATTATTGCACACCTTTAGGTAATGGAAAAAAATACATTCAGGTTGACCAATTGCAAACAAGGGTTCAAAGGTTATGACTGGACGACATTATGTGATAAATAGGCAACACTGGCAATACCAAATATATTCGTCAAATCCTGAAACTTGATCGTGCCTGTTAACTTCAACGGCATCAACAATGCAACAAATATGGTTTCAGGAAAATTTCCAGAGTAAAGGGTCCTATCCAAACGGAATCATACCAAAGACTGAAAGGGAGACAATGTGTACATGCATTTCTTCTAGACTATGAGGGAGAAAGCCTACCGCTGAGGGCCTCTACCAGACCAGCTGCCTTGGCAGCAGCGATAAGAGTGTTGAAAGAGCCATCCTGAGTCAAAACTTCCACAATGTTTCCTACAGGTGGCAGCAGAACCTTTTCGATTCGGTGGATGATACCGTTAGACGCCATCTTGTCGGGGTAAGTTATACGGGCTCCTTCGACTGTAAGTGCGTGCTACAATGACAAAAAAAACGTAATATCTTAACAGATAGAAATATCCTGAGCGAATAATGGCCAGAAAAGCAATAATGCGTACTATCCTTTCTATAAAAAAGAACGTTTCACGGTTAGACAGCAGGCTCTTTCTGGTCAGGAAACAAGAACATTATAATATATAACCTTTGTTTAAGTACTTACACGAGCGGCGTAGTAATAGTTGACTCGGAGCTTATCTCCCTTTAGGCTGTCCAGCATCAGTTCGTTTACAAGAAGATCAGGCTTAACATGGTACAAGCCGCTCACCACGTGGTATTTCAAAATGTCGGCCAATTTGGCGGGATCGGCCTTCAAACTGTTCAGTGTATCATTGCCAAGTAAATTGAATGCGTGATTGTCAGGAGCAAAAATAGTGAAAGGACCTAAAGGAAAAAAAATATTCTCTGTGAATAAAGAAGAAATTATTACACTGTATCTTAACTAACTAAATCTTGAATTCATCAAAATGGCCAGACGGGCAATATTCCTCTACATCTGTACAAGACACAATTGCTAGATATACTGCGTAGCGCATCTGACCCCTTTGGTATTCATGTACCATAATTCTTTTTCCTAGCTCTCTTCTCAACACTCATTATATCTACTATCAATTAATGAATACAATGATTTTTATATACGTTGCTACAGATTTCACTAAATTATGACCACTGACAGATTAAAAAAAAATAAGCATTTTTTTTAAAGTATCCGTAATGAAGCTGTTCTCCATTTATCCATGGTCTTATTTGTAAGAGAACATCCCTTTCTAACCTCCTTGAGACAAAGCCTCTGTCAGTCCGGCGGCGTCAATAAGATCCACTAATATAGTCTCCAGTGAACTTGTCTTTAAGGTATCCACAAGGTTTACTAGGGCTGAGGGGGATCCCTGTCCCAAGGCCAGTCCCAAAAGGGGGAAAATGAAGAGGTACCTCATTCCAGAAATGTGCTAAGAAAGAATGTGGCAACTTTCGGTCAGAAGCAGACGGGAGTACTGGAGAGATTAGGGTCACGTGTTAGACCAGCTGATAACAAGCCCTCCATGCATGAACACGAAATACGAGTCTTGTACTATTATACATTCCTTCTTAGAGTTCAACTTCTGTTAACTACTATATTCAAGATCAGTTTTCATTATTTTTTTAATAATGTTTCATCATTTCACAATTAAACTGTTGGTCTAATTAACAATGGCTTTCATGCGTAACCTGTTATCAAGAATAACATTGTTTCAGTTAGGTAGAATAGCAAGATATAACATTCATTTTGTTTTGTATAAACTTTTTTAAATAAACTTAAGCAAAGTGTTAACAATGAAGAATAAGGTAGATTGACAATTAAAAATGAGCTAAATACTACAAATCTAGAAATAAAAATGTTCATTACATTTTTATTAGAGTAGTTCGGGGTAATTATAAAAATTATTGACACGAAGTCAAAGAATGCACACAAGTTGAGAAAATGGAGTAAATCGAACCTTATATAATTTAAAAATACTGATAGAGGTCAAATAGTAGTAGAATTTAGAAGCTCTGTGACGTTATCAGAATCATGCGTGATAAGGCAGTATTTCAGATAGGACGTTTCCACTACTACAATCCCCGGCCATGAAGCTGTTACTAGTTTTGTCTGTGTGTATCGCCGTTTCCTCAGCCTACCCCAATCTGGTAGACCTCGCCAGTGCTAACAATGCTACAAAACTTGTGTCCCTACTCACTAGCGCAGGATTAGCTGACATTCTTAAAGATCCCAGCCAAGGTACTGAAAATGCTGTCAGTGGTCTTCATGCATATATATATTGGAATTGTTAGGGGAATCGGGGGAATCGTGAAAGTTCAGCAGTAAACCAGTCTGGTATTGTTTTCATAATAACTGTCCAAGCTCTCTTAGCGTACAATGTACTTTACAAGTCTTAAGCAGTCGTCACTTACTTCCTAGAAAACTTTGTCTTAATACACACTGACGACATATTCTGAAAACCATTCCAAACTTTATATCTAAAAGCATATTAAAGATTTTTTTTAATCTTTGCATTATACAATTAAGTGTTTATAGTTTCTATAGGATGCAATTATTGGAAAAATGAAAAGGTATTATTTTGTTTTTAGAAATTGTACTGATCTCAAGACCTGCAACACTGCGCATGCATCTTTGAGTCTTCCTCAAATTGATATCATAAACCAGATATGTTGAATGGGCATCAGCATATTTACATTATTAACTGATTGTATGTATTTAGGACCACTGTTATTACACGTGCCCTGGTTAAGGACACGGGTCATAGGTTTAACAATATAAAGCTTTCTTTGGTTATGAGCATATGCGGTTATGTTCTTTTTCTACAATGTCCACGAATAAGCAAAGAAAGAAAGCCATTTTATTTATTTTATCTGTATGAATAATTCATATAAAGTGGGAAGAGTGCGTAAGATATTATATTATCGATGCCATACAGTTGACCTATAACACTTCATACAGATAACCATAAAAACTGGATCTAACTGGTTTAGAAACTGATTATATTTGCATGTTTATTGATTAATCAGTGACAATAGATTTTCGTATAATATTAGTGAATGTAAATTTATTTTCTTAAATGTTACAGGTCCATTCACACTTCTGGCGCCTTCTGATGCCGCTTTTGCCAAAGTTCCGGCTGCTGATTTACAAGCATTGAAGGCAGATAATGCGCAACTACAGGAAGTATTGAAATACCACGTGATGAAAGGAGAGGTGTTCGAGTGGGATCTGGTAAACCATGAAGTCATTCCAAGTTTGAATGGACACTCTATTCGTGTTTACGTCGCCTCTAGTTCAAATGCCCAGGTAAGCCCTCGTTGAAGGGATTATGGGACTGCAGCACCAAAATAACACGAATGTTGCTTTGTTTTGCTGCATTCTTTCGTACTCGTACTTCAGTAATTCAAAACATTAAAGGAATAGGGATGAAACAGAGAAATGTGTCTTTTTGGAAGTATGAATATATATCTGCTTTCTAATTCTAACCAAATTATATGCTTCTCAGTGCTAAATTAAGATTAAAATTGCTGATTACCTTGATGAAAAATTGCTAATTGGTGTTGTTACCAAATACTGTTAACTTGATGTGTTTTTCCGCAGAGAACTTATTTCAACCAAGCAAAAGTTTTAGTATCGGAGTTGCAAGCATCCAATGGCGTGCTTTACTTGATTGATGAAGTTCTTAACATGCCAGAGGGAACCATTGACGATATCATCTTAAACCCCGACTACAACATTGATCAATTCATGGAATTCATTAAGGAGGCTAAACTTACCACTGTATTCAACAGAACTGTTGGTGAGAGAGAGAGAGAGAGAGAGAGAGAGAGAGAGAGAGAGAGAGAGAGAGAGAGATCTTAAAATCTTATAAGATAATCTTATCTTAAAATCATAAAGCTTATTAAATTTGGTAATTTTCATTATTTCATAAAAGATGTTTTTTTTCAGGTGCTAGATATACAATGTTTGTTCCTAGTAACCAAGCCCTTGCTTCTCTGGACCAAGGATTCTTGGCTCAAATTAAAAACAGTTACTCAAACGCTCGCCGTGAGTCGAATTTTTCAATGACAAGGGTTTCAATGAAATATACTTTCAAAATGATTATAATATTAAATGAAATCTTCATTATTTTTAGGCTTAGTTGATTACCACGTTCATCCAGGGACCCTACACGCCAAAAGTATACACGGACCCGGACGTCTATCTACAATGTACAGAGGCCATTACATTAATCTCTCACAGGACGGTTCGTACACATACCCTTTTCCTTTCCTATCCGTATATCGTGGCTGCATTTTGCATGAATTTTCTTAAATTCATTCACAGAATAACTTTTTTTAAGCTGATCCCTCTGTAAAAGTAATTAAAATTTAATGAGATAACATGAAAGTATTTTATATATGATATTGTACATGAAAATTGAACCAAATATTATCTTAAAATCAAAATCTTAGGAATCAAACCAGTATCGAAAGCCACGAATTTTTGTGCCCAATCTATTTCCACAAAATGTCCACTCTGATTTTTGGAAATAGAATGGACACAAAATTTACCCGTGACTTGCAACGAAGGGACGTAGATTTGTGAAGTTTACTCTATGTGTTTCGAACCCCATTTGCAAGCAGACTCAATTAGATTACTTGTTATGCTTTTTAATCATACCTGAGGCCAGGATACTAAGGTTATAAAAGTCCTTATTTCGCATACTATAACAATTACAAAATTATCAAGAACTACAAGTCAACATCTTGTGATCTTACTTTAGTATTCGACTGATTTACAAAGAAAAACATTTGATTTAGAATCCTAATAATACAACCCTGATTTTCATATCAACTTTTACCAGCAAAATATTTATAATATAGATTCAGTTCATGACTAAGGTAAGTCAGGTGAGCTTTGTGGACATGAGCCTCTTGCTTATGAAAGTCTTTATCATCATATTTTTCCAGCCAACAACAATACGCTTCTGAACAACGTAGCCACGGTATTACAGGCTGATATTGAAGCAGAGGATGGAGTAGTCCACATCATTTCTCACGTGCTCATTCCCTCTACACTCTCTCCTGGTGGTCTTGTCGGATAAAATCTTTATTAAATAAATATTTTATAAAATAATCTTTTTTTACTACATGTATATCATTCAGAAATCTTGTCTGTGTGTATGTGTTTTTTAAAAAATCTTTTATTGCAGAATTCTAAACAACACCCCTTTACAATGGCCAGTTGTTGGCAGTTAACCCGGGTATTGAGGATAACTAGCAAAATACAATCAATAAAAACCAAATATAAACATATTATAACGCATTTGTTAGACATTTTACTGTTTCTTTAAACACATATGTTTTTGATAAGTTCAGCATGAAATCTGTATCTTTCTTCTAATGAACCTTTGATAAATTGTTTTAACATGGACTTTTCTTGTATAGTATTTTCTATTCTACATATCATATTGAATATTATTAAAATATTAAATATCATTTTAAATTCATGTATTTTATTTGCGAAATATGAAATAATAGTATTATAAAAATGATTTTTTTTTTTTTTAAAATTGTTTCTAAATAGAATCCTACATAAGAATATGTTTCCATTGTGTCATACACCTTTTACAATATCACAATCAAAAATAAGATGTTTTGTATCTTCATTTTCATTTCCACAATACTCACATTTTCATTTACTCGTAATTTACACTTTTGTAAAAGAGAATTACAACATATAATGTTGTTCAGTAATTTATAATTGAATTCACTAAGACGCTTGTCGTACTTGTATTTGATTTTATTTCTATAAATAGTAAGCCAGTATTCTTTCTTCGCACAAAAGTTTCGGCTTAATATTGACTGATAACATGGATATTTAAACTTTTTAGACAACATATTTTCATACAAAATTTTTTTTTTTTTAACTGAAATACAAATGGGGTAAAAACAGCGTTTTTCTACAAAACCTGGTTCCCCGAACTCCTCTTACATTTTTGCAGTAACCTATTCACATTTTGGAATTTGATTGAGAGTTCTTATAGATGTGCAATAGCGGTTCGGAATTGCGATTTTTACCCGGGTTGATTGGGCCCGGGGTCAAAAAACTTTTTTTCTTCAAAAAAAGGTTTCCTGAACCCCTTTTACATTTTTTGGAGCAGTCAACTTATCTTTTGGAATATGATTAATGGTGTCCTGTAAATGTGCAATATTTATATATGTACATTTTCACCATAGGGGCCAAGTTGGAGTTGAAAACTTTTCCCCCTCAAAACCTGGTTTCTTGCTGAATTTCTCTTTTAGCCGTAGCCCATTTATATTTTGGAATATGACTGGGATGTAGATGTGCAATAAGGTTTCAGAATTTAAATTTTAATCCTGGGAATGAAAGGGGGATCGAAAGTGTTTATTAAAAACCCTAATTCCCTGAACTCCTCTTACATGAAATGAATGTGCGACAAGAATTGTGTGGAAGATGAGATTCACTCACTGATAGAATGTCCATTATATAAACATGATAGACATGAATTTTTTGAGAAAATTGTTAAAAATAATAAAAAAAAATTTATAGTTTAACAAATAAAGAAAAATTTTTGTGGATTATGTCTAATGAGAATGATATATTGCGTATCAAGCTGGGTAATTTTCTAATCAATATTTTTAAAATAAGAAATAGTGAATTATATAATGTTAAAAAGAACCAAATAAATGCAAAAGAGTAATAATATTAAATTATTAATACTCAAGTACAAATATACATGTTACAAATCTTTGTACGTTTGCGAATTATATATATATATATATATATATATATATATATATATATATATATATATATATATATATATATATATATATATATATATATATATATACTTAAAACAACCATTTACTTGGGTCTGTCACTTCAAACTGGCTTATTGGGACCTAATAGAAGGAGCGATTGCACATACAAATGGAATATGTAATAAAGTTCCCAGATGAAGCAAGATATCATGTATATCAATATAGTCTTGATTTTTTTATTAAAACAATTGCTACAGCAAACTATGTTCAAACCCTTTAATGGGGTCCGACCCCTTATTGAAAATGGGTATTATGGCTGATCCAGGATTTTCCAAATGCAGAATTGGTAATTTTTAGCAACCGAACAAATTTTATGTGTGGATTATCAAAAAATATCCACAGGCAATTATTTCATTTCTTTGAAATTATGTATAAGCCGAGTACATACATGCCAACTTTCCCGATTTAGGCGGGATCCTCCCGATTTTACCCTTTGATCCCGCTCTCCCGATCGGGAAAGCAAAATTGCCCTAAAATCCCGATTTGAAAAAATTCAACCTAAAATTTCCGATTTTCAGAGTTTCCCTATATTTTGTCAATCGGGATTAGAATATCAGACTTGTTTATTCAATGCACACAGATTAGTGCACACGTAGCAGCATGACGCAAAATAGAATATAAAAATATAGTCGGAGTATATTTTTATATTCTATTTTGCGTCATGCTGCTACGTGTACATAAATATACGGGTTTGAAGGATTTAGAGAAATCTTCGTAAGTCCTGTATTTTCCGAATTGTTTGATACATTTATATAACTGCTTTGTTTGCAATGTCATGGGAATTTTGTTGGCTTATACGTGTATATAAATAATACAATACATTACCTTTCCACAATACATGCAGTACATGTAATTTTTTAGACCATTACCTTATACTGTGGCGAAAATGCCTTTTAAATTAATCACAAAATAGCAAAGTCTTAATTTTTTAATATTTTTTTTCTTTGATTACTGCTTTATGAATGAATGCAAAAGCAAAAATTCCAACTATGTTTTAAAGATGCAAAATAAGAAATGTCAATACTTTATAGTTTGATTGATTGTTACAAAAATACAGAGTACCAGGTGAATTTAAAAAAAATGAGTTCACGAATTTTGAAGGTAAATCGATAGATGGCCCGATACAGAGAGTATCAGACTTGTACTCGAGTAGTCGGTGCATTCTAATCATACTAACCTAAGTTTATACTGGAATAGTTGTCATATAAATACCACTATTTACAACATGACAATACATCTTTTCGTACAAATTCTTTGAAAGACACATTTATTATTTGGTATATTTATTGTTTGATTCCTTATTTGTCCTATTGATGGCATTATTTCCGCCTAGTACGCCATTCCTCGTATGCATAAGGCCATCATGCTTCATGATAGACAAGATATTGTGTTATTTTTAGTTAAACTCCCCCCCCCCCCCCTTGAAACACAATATAATCAAACGTGGTTTTTTTTTTCATCATTAAAATGTTCTATCCTTCTATAGCCAGTTAAGACGCATAAGGCCGGTGCTTATACCCGGTTTCCGGATGGGAATCATCGACTACATTTGAATGGGACACCATTCCATGCAGGTTAACTTCCAGCATAAGCCGGTACCCACTTTCAGCTTGGTTGACTATGACAATGCAGATAAAGTGCCTTGTCTAAGAACACATCACACAACATCGTAGGCCACAGCAGGATTTGAACAGGCAACCTTTCGTTTACTGACCATGCCCGCTGATATGTGCTTTAAAATCATACTGTTTATGGTCTCTAGTACGACCCTTCAAGATCTATGAGAACATTTAATATCCAAAAATTATTTGAATTTGGCTTGTGAAAACATCAATAACTTTGGCTCCTTGGTATCACAGTGATGTGTGAAGAAAGAAAGTTTGGCTCTCCGATTCGCCTATATATATAAAAAAAATCCACTATTTTTAAAATTATTTTCCAATACAACTTACTTCAATAATGCTTGAAACCAAACATAAAATTCTTTTGAGAACTATTTATAAATAACGCATTTTTAGGATAATAATACAATGATAAAAAATTATACAATAACGCATCTTTAAGATAACAATACTTAAGCTAATGATTGGAGAACTTTAAGTTTATTAACTTTTGTTCATATTTTTTTACCATATATAAAAGCAAGAAGAGGATTATTCCCATAGTCACAGATGTTAATTACCATAATACAGTCCCTGAAACGTTCTACTTTCCCTTTTGAACGGTGAACGAACGCAGAGCGAACGGTGAGTGAACGATGTTGTGAATGCTGAACGCAACTTGGTGAACGATGTGTGAACGGTGAGCGAACGCAAAACGCGAACGGAGCGCCAACGCGAGCGCAAAGTCAACGGTGAACAAAAGGTGAACGCAAGATGAACGATTTATTCGGAATGCCTCTGATCTTTTCCTTGCATTGAAACTATTCTATTGTATTCTAATGCCTGGTGCTAAAAAATAAATAATAAATAAATAAACAAATCAATGAAAATTGTCCTTAGAAAGACGATACATGCACATTAAGTAAATTTTTTTATTTAACTTTCTTACCATATTTTCTGCACATATGTACGATGTTTAAATTCAACTTTTTAATAACACGATTTTATATCGCTGTAAAACATTGTAATTGTTACCGAACGCTGTAGTATAAAAGATAAAATTAATCTAGTTGTAAAATAAATATTGTTATTTGATATGTAAAACCATTACAAATAATGTGGATTTTAGAGGAGAAAACTACGGTCTTATAGAATGAATTACAACAGTTGTAAGAACCATACATATATTTCCGTGGCAAGGCGATTCCGTGTAAAATAATGAGAATTTTTTTTTTTACAAAGGTATGTGGACGTATTGCATAAATACACTCGTATTTTAAAATTTTAATGCAATGATATTTTTATGTGTCAGTTTTATTTTTTATGATGATTTATTGAGCAGACTTTTACATGTATCTGTAGACATTTCCCGGCCGTGATTATAATCGGACAAGATGATACAAAGAGGCAATCATATTATTTGTTATATATTTCATTTTCACAACTTGATATTTAAGTAATATGCTGTCATAGATTTTATTAAGCAGACAAATGAGAGAGAGAGAGAGAGAGAGAGAGAGAGAGAGAGAGAGAGAGAGAGAGATTCGGTTTTAGCCCCCCTTCCTCAGATGTTTGTACCTATATCAAACAAAAATTCTTAATTTTTTTCTAAATATATCAGGCAGTGAAAGTAACATTTTTATCAACAAATCCATTTGTTTTACAGTCGTAATCGGTTTTTATTTTC